AAATAGCATGCAACAACAGATGGGTAATGTAATCAGAAAGAGAAATCCTAAGAAAGAACCAAAAACAATTGCTAGAGGTACGTACGTACATATGTATGTATGTATGTATGTATGTATGTATGTATGTATAAATAAATAAATAAATAAATAAATAAATAAATAAATAACAGAAATCAAGAATGCCTTTGATAGGCTTATTAGTAGACTGGACATGGATGAGGAAAGAATCCCTGAGCTTGAATATATTTCAATAGAAACTTCAAAACTGAAAAGCAAAAATAAAAAAAGACAAAACAAAACAAAAAAATAACAAAAAAAACATCCTGGAATATTCAAGAACCGTGGGACAACAACAAAAGGTGTACCTACATATAATGGGAATACCAGAAGGAGAAGGGAGAAGGGAAAAGAAGAAATATTTGAAATGGCTCAGAATTCCTTCCAATTAATGTCATGGGCACCTGGTTGGCTCAGTAGCTAAGTGTATGACTCTTGGTTTCAGCTCAGGTCATGATCTCACGGGTTCATGAGATCAAGCCCCATGTCTGGCTCTGTGCTGACAGTGCGGAGCCTGCTTGGGATTCTCTCTATCCCTCTCTCACTGCCTCTCCCCTGCTTGTGTGCTCTCTCTCTCTCTCCCTCTCCCTCTCTCTCTCAAAATAAATAAACATAAAAAAGAAAAGAATTCCCTCAAATTGATGTCAGACCACAGATCCAGGAAGCTCAGAGAACACCAAGCATGATAAATGCCAAAAAAAAAAAAAAAAAAAAAAAAAAAGAAAAAAATCTACACATATGGTATTTAAACTACAGAAAATCAAAGACAAAGGAAAAATTCTGAAAGAAGCGAGAAGAAAAAACACATCTTACTTACACAGGAGTACAGCTAAGAATTACATCTGACTTCTCCTCAGAAACCATTCAAACAAGAGGAAACTGGACTGATAATGTTTAAAGTGCTGGGAGAAAAAGAAACCCAACTTGGGATTCTGTATCATGTGAAAATATCCTTTAAAAGTGAAGGAGAAATAAAGACTTTCTAAGACAAACAAAAATTGAGGAACTTTGTAAAAAAGTTCTTTAGAGGGGATAGAAAAAGATATAGATCAGACATTGAATCTACATAAGGAAAAAAAAAGAGGATCAAAATAAGAAAAGTGAAGATAAAAAGTTTCCTTTTTATTATTCTTAATTGATCTAACATATATAAGTTTTGTTCAAAATAGTAATAGCAACAATGTATTCAATTATGTATCATTATGAATGCATGTAAGCTTATGTATAGGTGACATGAATGACAGAAAGGATTCAGGGGTTGGGAGGGAGGAATTACCATTATTTTATTATAAGGTACTGGCACTACTGTGGAAGTGATTTAATGTTATTTGAAAGTGGTCTTGGATTAGTCATAAATATGTACTGTAAACTCTATGGCAACCAAAAAAAGTAAAAAAAAAAAAAAAAAAAAAAAAAAAAAAAAAAAAAAAAAAAAAAAAAAAAAAAAAAAGAATTATAACTCATACCCTAAAAAAAAGGAGAGAAAATGTAATAATATAAAAGTTCAATTAAAACCACAAAAGGCACAGAAAGACTGTTGGTCAAAATAGTAAAAAGAACAAAGGCAACAAATAGAAAACACCAAGAAACATAGTAGATATCAGTCCAAGTTTATCAGTTATTACTTTGAATGTCAATGATCTAAACGTACCAATCAACAGACAGAGACTGTCAGAAAGGATCAGAAAACAAGACCCAAACATACGTGGGTTTTGTTTTTGTTTTTAAGTAGGCTTAACACCCAAAGTGGGGCTTCAACTCATGGTCCTGGGATCAAAAGCCAGATGATCTACTGACTGAGCCAGCCAGGTGCCCCACAACCATATATTATTAAAAAAAAAAAAAACAAAAAACAACCCAACTTTAAAAATAAAGACACCTGTGGGGCGCCTGGGTGGCGCAGTCGGTTAAGCGTCCGACTTTAGCCAGGTCACAATCTCGCGGTCCGTGAGTTCGAGCCCCGCGTCAGGCTCTGGGCTGATGGCTCAGAGCCTGGAGCCTGTTTCCGATTCTGTGTCTCCCTCTCTCTCCGCCCCTCCCCCGTTCATGCTCTGTCTCTCTCTGTCCCAAAAATAAATAAAACGTTGAAAAAAAAAATTAAAAAAAAAAAATAATAAAGACACCTATATATTAAAAATAAATGGAGTAAGATATACTATGCTAACACTAATTAAAGGAAAGTGGGAGTAGCTATACTAATCCCAAACAGAGCAGACTTTACCATAAAAAAGTTGTCACAGGTGGAGAGTGGTATTACATTATAATAAAGGGGTCAATTCCACATGACATAATCCTCACCATGCGTGCATCTAACAGAACATCAATAAAATTGATAAGTCTCTAGCCAGGTTAACTGAGAAAAAAAAGGGAAGACACAAATTACTAATATCAGAAAGGAAAGAGAGGACATCACTACAGATCCCACTGACATTCAGCAAATAATAAAGTAATGAGCAACCCTTTGCCCATAAATTTCACAATCTAAATGAGCCAATTTTTTAAAAGACACAATGTTGCCAAAACTCACACAAGAAGAAATAGACAATCTGAATAGGACTATATCTATTAAATAAATTTAACAATAATAACCTTCCAAATCAGAACACATCAGGCCCAGATGGGTTTACTACTGAATTCTACCGAACATTTAAGGAAGAAAGTATACTAGTTCTCTAGAATTTCCTCCAGAAGATACAGCAGAGGGAACGCTTATGAACTCATTTGTTGAGGCCAGCATTTTTGGTTTGGTAACCAGAAAAAGATATTACAAAAAAAACTACACTACAAACAACATTTTTCATGAACATAGACGCAAAAATCCTCAAAAAAAAAAAAAATCAGCTTATCAAATCCAACAATGTATAACAAGATTTATATACCCAGACCAAGTGAGATTTACTGCCAGTATGTAAAGCTGGCTCAACATTTGAAACTGAATTAATATAATCCAACATATCAACAGGCTAAAGAAGAAAAATTACAAGATTATATCAATAGATGCAGAAAAAGCAATTGACAAAATTTAACAACTATTGAAGATTAAAAAAAAAAAACTCTCAGTAAACTACGAATACAGGGAATTCCTTAACTTGATCAAGAATATCTACAAAAAAACTACAGCTAAAATTATACTTACTGAGGAGAAGCTTGAAGCTTTCCCACTAAAATCAGGAACAAAGTAAGGATGTTCCATCTCACTGCTCCTCTGATGAGATAACTCAGTGGGGGGAGCACAAAGGAGCACACAGGAACTTTTTGGAATTATGAAAATGTTTCAGAATTCAATTGTGGTGGCTACACAGTTTTACACATTTGTCAAACGTTTAACTCAAAGAACTGTACACTCAAAAATGAATGTATTTTATTGCATGTAAGTTATACCTCAGCAAAACTGATTAAATAAACAAAAAATAGCCAGAGAGAATATATGTATAACACATATTACTAAGGATTACTCTACAACATATATAAATTTTGCCAAAAAAGCAATAAGAAAACATCCATCAAGTGGTGACAAAGAAAAAACCCAAATGACTATTAAAAATGAAAATATTCTTAGCTCCACAAGTCCAAATTAAAATAAATAGCATATCACAGCAATTAGAAGAGCAAAATCAGAAATTCTGATAAACTGGAATCTAGTAAGGATAGAGGAAAAGTACATACTCCTACACAGCAGTGTGAATTGCTACATTTACTCCAGAGAGCAATTTAGCAGTATCTGATGAAGTTGACTAAACACATACTCTATAACACAGTAATTCTACTTCTAGAACATATCCTACCAAAAAGTCTTGCACCTATACACAATTAGAGAACATATACTATGAATATACAAGAATATACACTTTGGGACTATTTAAAAAAATGGAAACAATTAAATATCCACAAAGAGGAAAATGGACAAATAATTTTGCAATTAATAAAATGGTTAAAATTAAAGAAAAAATATACACATACACAGGGTTCAAAAATATAATGTGAGGAAAAAGCTGTAGAGTGCTTTACTCAGTGTGACAGCATTTGTATGGATTTATAAAAACACATGAAGCAATCCTTGAAAATCAGGAATGATGGGCACACACATTATACTCATGTAGTGGATGCTTGTGGGAGTGGTGAAGGAGCAAACCAGACTGGGAAGCAAAACAAAGATGACTCTAACTGTATTTATAATGCTTTAACATACCTGAATCAAAAATTACAAAAGAATAGCATTTATTTATTCCAAGTGGTTGATCACACATTCACTTCTTTTCTCTAAATTTCTGTAATTTTCAACATTTCAAAATCAAAGGAATAATAATTTTTTAAAGCTATACAATATGAAATGGGCTTAAAAAGCACTAATTTTTAACAAACGTGCTGGATTCTGAGATAACTCAAAAGTAGTGCATACCATGACATTAAATTAGCATTTATCTTAAGAGTTCAAAAATTGAACTAATTTTTTGTTGTCGTTTTTCCAATTTCTAGAATCTGCAGACTAGAAAATCCATACTCTTTTAGGCTAAGCATTAGAAGATATTCATAGACCTCTGACTATGTAACTAAATAAATCTTGCTTTATTAATGTAACTCCAAGGTCGCTGTTAGTGCTCATGACTTTCAGTGTCCCTTCATGAGACCAGTATTGCCCATTTGCAGGGTCTCAAAAGCCAACAGACTATCCCCATTTAGACACATCTTGACTCCTTCCCATTTGGCTCCTCTAAGTATGCTGGTCATTACTTCCACACGAACGTTCATTTCTTTGAGTTTATGTCAGCTTAGTTTCTGGAGTCTTTAAAATTTAGGAGAGGAATTTTTGATTCTCTGCTCAACTATAAGGACAACAAGCCTTAAAGGTCTCCTTCCTTTTATGACATCATTGTGCTTACTTACTATTTTTATCTGATAAAAAAAGGATCATCTACAAATATTTTCTCCCAAATAGTACTCACCTCTGGATAAAGATGGAAGCGTTTCACTGCATTAATTACAAGGGGATATTCGGTGAGCCTATCATTCATAATCATCCACAGTCCTTCCAAAAATGAAGGTGCTTCAATAATGGTCTTGAAGAAGGAATAATAAAGTCCCTTTAAAAAGTATAAATTATTGATATAATTAAATATGAAAGTTTTTAGAACAATTTCTTCTGAATAAAAGGAAAAAGTCAATAGTAAAACTTCCTAATTTCTCCTTGTTACTGCATTCTTGGGTTCAAAAAAAAAGGCATGTATTTTCAGGTTGTCACTGTGCTATTCTTTCATATTTTCTGTATGCTTGAAAAACAGGTGGAGGGGTGGTTAAATGTTGCAAGGAATTTTTCTGACTATGGTTGAAAACAGGAATACAGGGGCGCCTGGATGGCTCAGTCGGTTAAGCGTCCGACTTTGGCTCAGGTCATGATCTCACGGTCCGTGAGTTCGAGGCCCGCGTCGAGCTCTGTGCTGACCGCTCAGAGCCTGGCACCTGTTTCAGATTCTGTGTCTCCCTCTCTCTCTGCCCCTCCCCTGTTCATGCTCTGTCTCTCTCTGTCTCAAAAATAAATAAACGTTAAAAAAACAAAAACAGGAATACAATATATTTGTAATTCCAGCAAGCCTGATTTTGCCCCCACATTATGAGATTCCTAGAGGCTGAAATCTGATGAATTCTGGCATAAACAGAGAAGGCTTCATCTCCTTGTACAACTTTGCATATGCTTTTTTCCACCTCTTAACAACATGCAATGGTCACAAGCAAAGATGAGACATGATTCAGGCTTGCAACTTACTTTCTAGCTCCATCTAACGGCTCTGCACAAAGTGAAAGCTAACTAAATGTCAACTGACCACTGTTCATGACACAAACGCAGTCCTGAAAAGGGGATTATCTGAGCGTATTATGCTAGCATAGGAAATAAGGACTTTATTAGGCCAGCAAAAGTGCTGTTTAGTTAAAATTCAGAGATTAACAAAAGCATGCTGTTTAATATTACTTTCCTCATCAATTTCTTGCTTTTCTTCCTAAAATCTAAAAGCAAACAGGGGCGCCTGGGTGGCGCAGTCGGTTAAGCGTCCGACTTCAGCTCAGGTCACGATCTCGCGGTCCGTGAGTTTGAGCCCCGCGTCGGGCTCTGGGCTGATGGCTCAGAGCCTGGAGCCCGCTTCCGATTCTGTGTCTCCCTCTCTCTCTGCCCCTCCCCCGTTCATGCTCTGTCTCTCTCTGTCTCAAAAATAAATAAACTTAAAAAAAATTTAAAAAAAAAAAAGCAAATAAAGGGCCACGTTGCTTGTAGTACATGCTTCCAAAAGCATTATCAACTCTACACTCATTCCTGCCTCATAAAACTTTGTTATTAACAGATCAAACAATGCTAGAGGCTACTAGATTGAAGTTCTGTTTCAGCTGATGTCTGAAAGAGCATTTCCCCATAGTTTTGGTTGCTAAAATAGGAGTTCATATAAGGATTGCTCCTTTCTCCTTAGGAGGGCAAGACAACACTACAATGAAAGAATATTTAATATGCGTAAGTCTTAGAGAAATAGAAAAATATAAAAATAAGTTTTTGTTAACAACAGCTGTTATTTTTATGCCTGGTACTGTGTTATGTGCTTCATTCATGATCTCCCTTCATATTCCATAAAATCCTGTAAAGCTGGAATTATTTCTAGATGACAGATGAGATTACCGAGAATCTGAGAGGTTGACTGACAAGCCGTCAGACAACGAAGCACAGACCTGCTATCTGAATCCAGTTATTGTCATCAAAGCCCACACCCTACCCACAGCTACACAATTCATTTAATAGTATTTTATATCCTCCCTTTGGAAATAGTATGTATGTTAAAAATTTAAATGCCACAAATATGCTAAATGTATCCAATTCTTCAAAGGTTTTAGGAGGCTATTGGGGTGAGATTCAAAAAGCAGTGGGTGAGGCAAAAATTGTATGCAGATAAATCTGCAAGGACAGAAAGTAGAACAGAGATTATGAGGGGCTTGGGGAGAGGGGCAGGGGAAGTTGGTGTTTTTAATGGGTATAGTTTCTGTTTGGAATAATAAAAAAAGTTCTGGAAATGAACGGTGGTGAGGATAAGAAATTTCTGGTAACATTTGGCACGCCTATATCGCTTCTTAAATGTTGTCTTTGTTTTCCTTCTTCCCCAGCTCTTCTGAGTGATCTTTACTATCTTTAAAAGAAGTGTGCATTAGAAGAGTAGGGTAATGACATAAGTAAAAGAATCCTAAAACATTTTCTATTTAAATATTAAACCTAAGTTGTAGCTTGAGAAACAGTGCATTCAACAAAAATTCATTTCAGTTCCTAATATATTTCCACCTTATAGTCTTACTATTCTTAAACTACAAATTAATTTATAAGAAACTAACCATTTCAGTTCGAAAAGTCATCTCCCGTTCTAAAGATGAGAGGTGAGAAAAATGACGATCATTTTCAAAAAGTGTTACTAAATGCATCCTAGAAAAAAAAAATGATGCACCATATTCTAAGAATAAGAACATTTCAAAACCATTACTAAAGTATTAAAGTACAAAAACCATGAAAAAAATAAAGTTTTGTAATAAATGAGATAATTTTACAATTTGCTTAATAATTTGTATATTTTTAGGCATTTATAATTCAGTGTGTACAGAGGTGAAATTCCTTAGCCACAGTTGTATATCTAAAACTCCCTCTTGGGGCGCCTGGGTGGCTCAGTCGGTTGAGCGTCCGACTTCAGCTCAGGTCACGATCTCACGGTCCGTGAGTTCGAGCCCCGCATCAGGCTCTGTGCTGACCGCTCAGAGCCTGGAGCCTGCTTCCGATTCTGTGTCTCCCTCTCTCTCTGGCCCTCCCCCCGTTCATGCTCTGTCTCTCTCTGTCTCAAAAATAAATAAATGTTAAAAAAAAAAAAAAATTTTAAAACTCCCTCTCTGCACCACCCTTCTTCCACTCCAGGTCTCTAAATCAGAACAGAGGCAAGTTTCTGTTTAAGTTTCACAAGTGATTCTAATGTAACAGGTTGGAGAAATGCCTCTGTAACTATCAAAAAGCATGCAGAATTAAAAAAAATAAATTTAGATTAAAGCAGTTTTAAAATAAATACTATAAAAGGGATCAACTTTCAGGTGCCAAAGAGACACAGAACTGTATGTCAAGATATTTTATTAGTGAGACGCAAGAAAACAGCCGTGTAGTGAAAATAGGAGCATATGTGATAATAAATAGCAATTCTGCTATCCTTAACTTACCGAGTAGATGCTTTCCAAATACACAGAAAGCAAACTTCTATATATCAACCCTGTCTTCACGTACCTTGATTTACATGTAAGACATACATATGCCAGGGTAACACTAGCTATAGGAAATGTTTCTTACCATTACAGCCTTAGTTCTAGAATCAAAATCTCCCTGCAAACTAAATGGCCAGAACAGCACTGAAAATATGTGAGGCAGATCCCACTCTTCCTAAGAGTAAAAATTCCTGAGCTCTTATAGAAATGAAAATACATCAGAGGAAAAATATTAAATTACATATAGTTTTTATAGACAGGTCACTTGTGTAAAATAACGTACATGTGCGTGCTCATTTAATTCTGTAATACCACAGTAGCATCTTTAGTTTCATTTCTACCTGATTTCCAGCTGACAAGTGTTACTAAAACTTATGTTTTAGTCACTATGTTTATGTTTTATGTTTGAAACTTATGTTTATGTCACTAACAACACACATTTACTGTAAGATAAGGGAATTTTTTTTAGATGAAATAAACATGCATAATACAGTAGAAAGCTAGATATTTAAGAAATATAGTGGTGAATCCTTGGGTAACACAAAAATATTTTAATTCATAAGTACTATTCCTTTAATGCATCTATTTTGTAAATGCTGCTTCACATGTTTTTTTTTTAAATAACAAATATGTGTAAACTGGCACACAGATATTATATACACATAGCAAGCGGTTATTGTCTTATTGTTTGTATGCAAACAGCAATGTCAATTTTGAATCCAAATGTTTTTATTCATTTAAAACTGTAACTAATCTTACCAGTGCAAAACTCCCACAAAGGCAGCTGGAAAAACAAACAAAAAAGTCATTAAAAGCTGCTTTATTGTAATATACCCTTAAAACAAGTACTTCAAATGCATTCCCTTCTATGCCTTAAGACAGCACACATATTTAGCAAGATGGCTAAATAATTCCATCTGTATAAAACAGGAAAAATTTACAAACAGACATAGAACAAATTATGAATAGTTCTCACCTCTGCAAGGGAGGGCAGAGGAGCAAAGGAAGATTTGGAAGACTAGATCTCATTCCCATAAATTGCAAAAGAGTGATGAAATTACTGATTTTGTGCTTCTTTGTGATTTTCAGTTTATTCTCTCTTCTCCCTCTTATTCTCTATTCCTTTACAATAAAATTTTTAAAACAAGCACACATATACACTATGCTCAGCTCAATCCTTTCAGAATTGAATCTAGCCTACAGGAGCCACCGTAGACCACTTTCCCTCGAGCTCATCAGAAGATTGTTAAATGCAGGAAATGCCTTCCTCAGCAGCACACCTGAAAGCCCCTATATGTGGAGCTTTGATTGCTCCCAGACACCTGGCCTGGGAGACCCATCTAGAGCTGCCCTGTCTGCGCCCTATGAATGAGGCTTTAACAGAGGGCGTGGAGACAGGTCAAACAGTGACACTCCTGTGGGTATGGAGATTTTTTTGAGGAGCTCCAAACAATGACTCCTCTGGTGGCTGGAACACTGCTTGTTTTCAAGGATACAACAGAGCTGGGGAAGGGGCACGGGATGAGGCCTAGATAAAACGCCACAAACTCTGCTGTTCTTACAGAATTGCAGTCATTTTTTGAATACATGTTCTCTAGAGTACTGTAACCCTTTGGTTATTTTTGTAAAATTTTGAAAAATTGATTCTGACAATTTTCCAAGTACTTTTGTTACTGTCACAGAGGAGTGAATTCACTCAGCTATTCCTAATGTCCTGTCTCCTCTCCAAGATTTTATAATAATATTTCTTATGGTTGTCCCAAATATGCCTGGCAAATCATTTTAGCAAACCACAAATTTGAGCCTCTTAAAAATTCAAGAAATTACTCACCTAGACTAACAAAATAAGTCGATAAAAAATTAAGTAATAATAATAAATTGCAATTTTGAAAAAAATTCCCAGCCATGTTTCTCCAGCTCTTGTTCTCCATGTTCCTAACCATCTGGTCCCAACCACTCTTTAATACTTCTCAGAAGATTTACTTGATTTTACATGATCAGCAACTATAGCCCTTGGTCTGTTTTTGTACTGTCCACAAGCTAAAAATGCTTGTTACATTTTTAAAGGGTTGTAAAGGGTTGTACAGATATGGAAGAAGAACAGGCAATGGAGACTGTACGTGACCTGTGAAGCCTGAAATATTTACTGCCTGGCTCTTTATAGAAAAAGTACAGGGGTGCCTGAGTGGCTCAGTCGGTTGAGCATCTGACTTTGGCTCAGGTCATGATCCCACGGCTTGTGAGTTCCAGCTCCACATCGGGCTCTGTGCTGACAGCTCAGAGCCTGCAGCCTGCTTCAGATTCTGTGTCTCCCCCTCTCTCTGCCCCACCCCCTACTTACACTCTGTTTCCCTCTCTCAAAAATAAAGAAACGTTAAAAAAAATTTTTAAGTATATATTTATTACATATGTTAGCTCTTTCTATCTCATATGTAATATACTCTGAACCACTTTGAAATTAAACCTATACCTGCTCTCTCAACTTAAAGCAGATGCCCCTTTGATAAGGTTTCATTAGCCTTAAGATAAACACATACTACCTCATTCAACTTATATTTATAATCTCTTTCTCACTCTCTAGGCAATTACATATAGTGGCAAAAACTCTTAAAAATGGTGTTTAAGGAAAGGGAAAAGATCAAATATCCTACTTGAGCCATCTAGCTTTCCAAAAATCTTCAAAATATTCTTATGCCTCTCATTCCTTCCCTTTACCCCACATTCCACACCTGATAAAATGATAAGGTGTAATGAAGCCAATATTCTAAACGCATGAAGTGCTTATCACAGTCCCTTCCAAAGCTGTGATAAAAAGCATGTCTCCTGATCCCTGTATCCTGTCAATCTCACCTCTGAAAGTGACCTAGCCTCATATTTCACTGAAACGGAGATCATCTGATACAAGCACTCCTAACTTCTTTTATACCCACTTTAACATTTCTGTATATACTAATCCTTGCTTTGCTATTCTCTACCATCTATCTCAGCAAAGGAAGTATCTCTCTCTTTTCCAGTTAGCTTCTCAAATTTGTGCCTCTAATTCCACTCTTCTCAAAGATTCCAAGACTTCAACTACTTCCTCTCTTGGAACCTGAATCTCACCCTCTCCCCTTGATCTTTCCCTTCAGCCTTCAATTCTCCTAAGCCTTAAAACACTTTGGTTGATCTAACAGCACTTCAGTTCAAACTATGACAGATTCTCTCCCCCACCCATAACCCCATTTGCTGCCAAGATTCTTGCACAACGTCTTTCTTTTATGTTCCTGGTCTTTTTTTTTTTTTTTAATGACCAATGGCCTCTTTAAATTTTTATGCTTTTCAAACCTCTCTCTAGCATCTGACCAGATTCTTAGATTGCTTCATCTTTTATTACACCAACTCTTCCAGTTTTTCTGGCCTCTGTTTTTATATGCATATCTGGCTTTTCCTTTTCCTCTCCTCTCTGAAAACTAAGTAGAAGGGGTTTTCTCAAGTATCTCTGCTTTGTCCACTTTTCTTTCATGGGAATCTCAATCCTCAAGTTTCAGCTCACTTCTACATGGATAATTCCCAAATCTATAATCCTCATTGCTGAACTTTCTCTCTCCCTGTCCTCCCACCTCATCTACCTCACCACCTACCCAGCGCTCACAATATGCTTCCTTGGACTCTCACCTCTGTCCTCCCCTCCCCTCCCCTCTCCAGTCCTGCTGTTGCCACCCTCGCTAAGACCACTGTTGCCCAGGGGCGCCTGGGTGGCACAGTCGGTTAAGCGTCCACTTCAGCCAGGTCACGATCTCGCGGTCCGTGAGTTCGAGCCCCGCGTCGGGCTCTGGGCTGATGGCTCAGAGCCTGGAGCCTGTTTCTGATTCTGTGTCTCCCTCTCTCTCTGCCCCTCCCCCGTTCATGCTCTGTCTCTCTCTGTCCCAAAAATAAATAAACGTGGAAAAAAAAATTAAAAAAAAAAAAAGACCACTGTTGCCTTGATTCTGGTATTCCAATCATGTTTTTCTGCTCTTCTCCATCCGTCATGGGTCCATTTTACAAACCACTACCATGTTAATCATGTCACTCGATTTTAAAATTATTCAAGGCTAACACTGTGAATGTATCCACAGAATTGTTCACTTTAAAATGGTTAATTTTATATGACGGGCATTTCATCTCCTTAAAAAAAAGTTGGTTTGGTTTTTCTTTCCTTAAAGAATCCATCAGTTGCTTCCACAGAATGAAGTTCAAATTCCTTAACCCAAGTTTTGGGTTAGACACTCCACTGCTCATCCCAGCCCACCCTGTGAACTTACTTCCCACTTTTGTCACCTTCCTTTGCAGTCTTACTTCACCTTTATATTTTCTTACTCCCTCCACTTCAATTATGCCATTCCTCGGGCCTCTAATACTTGCTATCCTCTGCCTCACACAGCCAGATGTTAACTTTTTTTTTTTTAATTTTTTTTTTAACGTTTATTTATTTTTTTGGGACAGAGAGAGACAGAGCATGAACGGGGGAGGGGCAGAGAGAGAGCGAGACCCAGAATCAGAAACAGGCTCCAGGCTCCGAGCCATCAGCCCAGAGCCCGACGCGGGGCTCCAACTCACGGACCGCGAGATAGTGACCTGGCTGAAGTCGGACGCTTAACCGCCACCCAGGCGCCCCCAGATGTTAACTTTTGAATCACAATTCTAATCCCACCTTTTCCTAAAAGTCTTTGCTGACCTTATTTCCCACTTCCCATCTTAAAGTGTTAGTTTCCTCTTCTGAACTCTCCTAGCACTTAATATATTCAGTCCTTACTTCACCCAGCACTCAGGGAATGCCCTCAGTGTGCCAGACATGGGTGCTCAGGAGCTGGTGTTTGGGTTGGTGAAACAGCGTGGTGTCCACGCTGATTCCGGATGTGGGATGTATGTGCTGCCACAACTACACATCTGATAAAATGTAAGTGTGAATTCCCATCTATTATTCCTCTCGTGTTTGTTAATACCCCACATGTGGAGACCCATTCTTCTCTAACATCAGCAGTCAGCTTATGACTAAAAGAAATCACAACAACTTACATTAGCAGACATTTCTCCATGTTTCAACCTACATCAGTAGCCCATCTGAACGAGGACTAGGCTCAAATCTGATTTTACTGACACGGCAACATTTAAATTAACTCTTAAACTACAGAAAATGAAGAATGTAAATAAACAATCTTTCAAGTGCGTTAAAAAAAAAATTCCCCAAATCCAAGCAGTGAAGCTCTACAGCAAGATGGAAGTAAACTATTAAAGGTTCTCAGCTAATTAAACCAACACTTTATTTTGCTTTAAGGTACAAGAGGAACATGGGTGCCCCCAAGAAGTAGCCTATCGTTTTTAGAACCCGTGATAAATGGCTGCCCTGATTAAAACGACATTTTGGTGGTGGCACAGGGGGTGACCACGATGCCCCCCCCTCAAACCCGGGACTCTGTTTTAAAACAAGAACCAGGGGGGCTGGAATTCTTCAGCGATCTTCCAGAGCTGGACCTTGTCATTAGAACTGCTAAGCTTGTTTGTTAAACTGATCTTGAAGACTCAGCCAAACCGCTTCAAACCCGGGCTCAGAGGCCCTCCCGGCCTTGCCACGGGCGCCCCCGCCCCCCTCTGCTCACCTATGCCGAAGGAGGTCCTGCTGTTGACCTGTCGTCTCCGAAACTGCAGCACCTTCTCCCGGAGCTGCTCCAGCAAACAGCTGAGGAACTGGAAGCGGCCGAGAAGGGTCTTGGCGACCACTTCCATTTGCATGCAATTTTGCGCTTTCAGGTTTCGGGTCCTCCGCGGCGAGTAATCCCGGGAGCCCCCCGGCAGGTTCCCCCCGCCTACAGGCAAAGGCGGCTGCCGCTTTTCCGTCTCCGCCTGCGGCTCCTCCATCTCCGGCTCCCAGGCTCCGGTGGCCCGGCGCCGCCGCCGGCACTGCACGGAGCGCGGGGACTGCACCGGCTCTGAAGCCGCTTCTTTGAGCTTACTCCTCGTTTGCCCGACCATTTTCTCATAGTCCCTGTTCAGATGGAGCTGGGTCTCTGGCTGGCGCGGGCCCAGCCCAGTCGGGCGAGGTCCGCTGGGGCCTGGCTCGGGTCGCGGCCTCAACGACCAGCCCCCGCCGCCGTTGAGGGCCGCCCGGTCGTCATGGCGACCGGGAAACCGGGAGGGAGGGGCCTGAGACCCAGACAGCCCCGGCCCCGCGCGCGCCCTCCACGCGCACCACGCACGGTCCCCTCGCGCATCCCACGCGCGCAGCCCCTGCGCCCTGCATCCCGTGCATCCCCCAGGAGCACCCCTTGCCCCCCTAACCAGCCCCGCGCGCAGCACAGGCTCACTGCCCCACTCAAATCCCTGCGCGCGTCCTGGGACGCTGGCCGCCCCTGCGCACACCTTGGCTCCATGGTCCTGCTGGCGGGGAAGTAGGAGGAATTCCGATTTTATTATTATTATTATTATTATTATTATTATTATTATTAT